TGTTTGAGAACCCAGCCTGGTGCTGTTCTAGAACATTCTAGAACAACAACTTGGCACAGTAGGACCCAGTATTATTCGTTCATCACTATCAACACGCCTCAGGTCTGAGCGGCTGCGGTCACTGTAGTGAAGGGTTCATCTGTAATAAAACCTGATTACTGCCTTAAGAATGCAAAAAGAAATGGACAGAAAAGCGGAATCTAACAGTAAAAATCTGGAATCTCACTTAAAGAGCTAATTGCAGCTTAGAGACTCATTTGAGCAGATTTTTAAAGAAACATAAAAGGAACTTGTTCTAAATAAACGTTTACACATATATTAATTATTTAGGCTTTAGGAGTTATTTGTGTGAGAAAACTGTTTTTCTGCCAAAGCAGACGCAGGCGCAGGCAAAGGAAGTCTGTTAGCTTGATCAAGAGAAAAATATGGATTTTAATGGCGGCTCTAGCACAGAGGAAATTTTAAATGTTTATAATTATATTTATGGTGGACCACCACTATATAGTTATGAGCATGCTGCTTGCCCCAGAGAGCAGAGAAAAGCCAGAGGGAGAAAAGACGGCCAAAGGAGCGAGATTTAGCTGTGGTGTCAGGAGGTTCTGTGGAGCGAGCAGGTGTCTCGGTGAGTGAACAACGCTAGCTAGTTAGCTTAAACTTGTGTGCTAACATCACAATATTGTGCAGATTACTGTCATGTACCAGACAACTAAATATAGTATTGGTTAATTAATATAATAGTGATTCTTGACAATAATAAACTATAATGAGCCGTTGTAAACTGTTTCATATTCGCTAATATCCCTTCACGTAAAGTAGCTTAGCGCTTTAGAGAGAGGGAGAGACGCCAGTCAACTTATTCAGGGCAGGCGGTTCGGACCTGGGTCTGACACAGAAACCAGCTTCCCTGGCCCGCTAGGAATTTTTAACAGCTCCCCATCCTCTTCTGGAGCTCAGCACAAACCCCCCTGGTCTGGTTTCGATGCTGATTTGGGCTCGAGGAACCTGCAAGTATCTCCGCCATGAGGCTCTGGAGGACAGGAGGCATGGTGAACTCCCATCACATCTTGTAATCCTCCAGTCTGAGGTGCAGCACCGCAAACAACCATGTTCTCAGCTGCACAAAACACACCAGAAACGTTCATTCTCTTATTTGGAAACCTGTCGACTCCGTGTCCTGACATGCTGGAGTTTGCACAGCCTCCACAAACACAATATGTTACCATATAGAAATGAAAAACAAAAATGAATACAATGCAACACTAGTGAACACACACACTGACTCGATAGCGCAACCTATCCACCCGAAAACGACCTACTCGCCATACTGAGCTTCAGTCAGAGTCTGGTTACTCACAGGCAGAGAGGCACATGAGCGGCGAGACTAGGCAGCTCAAAAATAACCAATCAGAAAAAAGACGGAAATGCTGACTGTACCGTGACGCTGTAGTTTTTAGCTGTAGTCAAAAATGGCATCTGGCATTGGCACAAACATCTTTTTTTTTTAGAAGAAAGGCTTTTAGCGCTTCTAATTGTTATGGTTTTATAGACATTCAAGTCATTTAGAACAAAGGAAAGAGCCGCAGCGAACTCCGCGCCGTCTTCGTTGTTTATGAGAAACTAAGCGTCACCTATGTGTGATGTCCGCAATGCTGTAGTTTTTCAGCTGTAGTCAAAAATGGCGTCTGGCGACAGCGCAAGCATTTTTCTTTAGAAGAAAGGCTTTTAGCGCTTCTACTTGTTGTTTTAAAGGCATGTCCAAGTCATTTAGAACAAACAAAAGAGCAGCAGCGAACTCGGTGTCAGTCGCCATGTTTATGACAAACTCGGCATTGTGGTGTGTATGTATGCTGCTCAACGCTGATTAGCTTGGTTAGAATTCTCACGGGGTGGGGTTATTTGAATTGGAGAGTTCCCAGACCCTTTCTCTGTGCAGAATTAAACAGAGGAGGAGTCTGGCAGGCCAGGCTACCGGACTCTTGCCACTGAGGATCTTTCAAAACCTGGATGGTGGGAGCTTTCTGCAGCTGAATGAAGATAAGACTGAGATCCTCATCTGTGCCCCAGACAAGCTGGTTCCCAAAGTCAGAGACTCTCTTGGTCAACTTGCTTCTCACACCAAACCTTCTGTCAGGAATCTTGGTGTGACCTTTGACCCAGCTCTCACCCTGGATTCTCATGTCAGTTCTCTTGTTGGCTCTTCCTTCTTCCATCTCAGGAACATTGCTAAGCTGGGTCCCATTCTGTCCCGCTCTGAACTTGAGACAGTTCTCCACACCTTCATCTCCTCACGCTTAGACTACTGTAACTCTCTTTTCACGTGTCTGAGCAGAACCTCCCTGAACCATCTACAGGTGGTTCAGAATGCCTGTGCTCGGCTTCTGACCAAGTCCTCCAAACACACCCACATCACCCCGCTTCTCCTCCAGCTTCACTGGCTGCCAGTCAACTTCAGGGTTCATTTCAAGATCCTGGTTCTGGTCTATAGGGCCTTACATGGACAAGCACCATCTTACATTGGTGATCTTCTCAGTCCCTACACCCCCAGCAGGTCCCTGAGGTCCAGTGATCAAAGCCTACTGGTTGTGCAGCACAAGGCTAAAGACCAAAGGTGACAGATCATTTACTGCTGTGGCCCCCAGACTCTGGAGCTCTCTCCCCCTGAGCCTGAGATCAGTGGACTAAGATTCTAACATGCAGGACGAGGTGTCATGCCACACAATATGACTGAGACTAGTATGAAATGTTTGAACTCCAAACAGCTGCAACGAAAAATTCTGAGCATGCAGCAGCATCTTCACCAGTCAAGGCTTCATTGTTTTGGACAAACCTTCATGTATCATTCAATAACAACATTAAAAATAAAAGTCAAATACCAACCGAGCCTTTGAAGTCTTCCAACATCAAGCAACTCCATCAGGAGAACTTTTAAGCACAGATCAAAAGACGAAGGGAGATGAAGGGCCCTGTCAGTTACTTTATTGATGCCTTTATATATCTGTTAACTGTCGATTAAATAAGACTGATGAAACAAGTGAAATGTTATTTTAGAGGGATGGATTGCGTGTGTGTGTGTGTGTGTGTGTGTGTGTGTGTGTGTGTGTGTGTGTGTGTGTGTGTGTGTGTGTGTGTGTATTTATAACTTATAGAATATGTTTGTGTGTGTGTGTGTGTGTGTGAGAAATTAAAAAAGCCTGAGTTTACAATCATGTCCATGTCTATTATCTGAATTTGTGAATCACTGAAATTATTTTGAATTTAAAAAGTAATTGTTTTGGGGCCAATTTTCTTAAAAGTTTAAAATGTGATTAATCAAGGTTATTTATTTACAAAGTCTCTGATTAATTATAGTATTTCTTAATCAAGTCCCACAATAGCATAAAACAGTGGCATGTGGTCAGAGGAGGCACTGCTTCCCTTGTCATTGTGACAAGTAAATTACTAATAATAGTTTAATATAAAGTCAATGTGTCCAAACAAGCTTTTCTTTTGGGATTATATATTTATAAGTCTGACTCCAGAACAGTTAATGCCTCCCTAGTCATGAACCTTACTGCTTTAAAAGTATTACATGTAAATTAGATTTCTAATGTGAACACACACGCAGTCGGTGCAAATGAACCAGTACAAAAGCTGGATGGCATCCATTCCATCCTCATGTAAATGAGGCATTAGACACCAAGTTATATCATTTCTCCCTGAAGCAAGGGATTTATTCCCAACACGAGGAAGGCCTTCAAACTTTCTTCTGGTCCAGAACGATGGCCCCAGATTTGGAGGAGATGACTCTTAGGCCTAAAGCCTAATTTATACTTCTCCATCAGCTCCACCAGGGAGATACACACACGTATGGATGGAGACAATTTGTCCTCATACGTTTCCGTCTCCTGGAGAGTGTAGCAAAGCAAAACCCCGCCAGGACAATGGAGGGCGTAGCGCTGTACTGTGGTATCCTGTCATGTATCTGGTCCAAGATAGTGTGTTTATATTAAAGAGAGACATTTTAACACAGACAAATTTGTCCCTCATTGTCCTCCACCTTTTCATGCGGTCACCACCTCTAAACCCACGTTTCCTGTCATTTCCATCCACGAATAAATCACATGCTGCCCGACTTTTCCAGTCACGGGTAAATAAAAAGTTCATATGTTAAGAGTTTTTCCACGAGGTTGTCTTCAAGCTTCTCCGTGTCTGCCGCTAGTTATCCTCAGCCATCTTTATGTTTTTGAGAGCACAACGGCAGCGTCGTCCTGACCAATCACAAGCTTGCGTTCTCCATCTCGATGGACAGATGTTTAGAAAGGAGAGATTGACTCGGTCCGTCCTTGCGAGGGCTCTCCGGCAGGCTCGTAAGGACAGATAATGGCGCTGCGTGCATCCGTCCCGACACAGGCGGAGAAGTATAAATTAGGCTTTAGGCTTAAGAGTGTATAACTCCTCAGTTAAACTGATACTGACATTATCCTGATACACAATAACATCAACGCATGTGTATCAGTATGTGTTCAATACTTGCGCAATACCAGATGTGCATTAATATGCCAGTGTCCCTTACAGTATGCTGCATTGTTCTGGAACCCAGGTTTCATTTTTATTCGTGGTTCTTAGCGGTCGAAGGTTACAATAATAGCTTACTGCTTATGTGTACATGTCCCTTTGTTTACTTTTGTTTTTCCTTCGAAAAACTATTTAAGTGTATGTGCTGCTGTAACAAGTGAATGTCCCCACTACGGGATCAATAAAGTATATTCTATTCTACTCTACTCTTTTCTAAACACATAAAAGGTCTTGGCTTGAAGCCACATCATCTGTAAAAAGCAAAGCAGGTCTTGGTAGCTCCATCTGTGAAAGAAACTCTAAACATGGAACATTCCTGTTCCTGGTCCTAGCATTCCCTGGAATGTGGAGCAACTCCAAGTAAGCAAGAAATCTGCACACCTTCTTCCTCCATGGTTAACGTCTGATAACTTGTTTTCAAAAGGTCTGGGCTGAATCGGGTTTACCTGGCATCAGTCTGGCTGAAGGGAAGATTTGTTCTTGTATTTTCCTGCTTTCAGAAAGCAGCTCTTCAGCAGTCATCGGAAGATCCAGAGCATCCCGGATGATCTGGGCAGCATCCAGAGCTTTTTTACCCATCACTAAAGACTTCACAGTCCAGGTGTACTGCTTTCCAAAGCGGTCACATATTTCCTGGAAGGAGACGGTGTAAAGTCTCTCTGTATCTGAAAGGAAAACACAAACACCTGTTGATGGCAGGTAGTGATCCTGGGACAAAAATAAACTAAAGAATACAAAACGTTTAGTAATTAACTATTTCAATAAAGATGCATTAAATGAAAGCCCTGAAACTTAACTAGAGGCTTTAAAACCAAACACCATTCAGTTAAAACCATTTTTCCCCCCAGATATGTCATTTTGCTGTTTATACATCAGTCAGGTACTACTGTGAGACAAATAGTATTTCATGTAAATAAATTCGGCAACAGTTTGTCCTGAAATAAATCTTTTAAACTCTGAAATAAATGTGAAATGTGATGATAGGATCAAGCATTCACACCTGAACTTTCCTCTATAAACGGTCATTTTTCCTGTTGAGACACTGATTTATTAGTGAAATATAAGCCGAATGTATCCATATATAATACTGTACAAAGAAAATGCTACAAACGTTTCATATTGTCTTCTTCAACTGTATGACAGTTAATATTCATCTCTTCCTAGTTTCAGCATGAGAACTGTTCCACGTTTAGAAGCTGAATGATATGAGCTACATATTTAACCCGAGGAGTTTAGTAGATGAAACTCGCTTAAAACAAGTAAAAATAAAAATAAATATGTTTATTTACCCAGTATTAATCCATCCATGTCAAAGATGACATGGCTCACGGGTTCATAGCCGTTGCTCGACATGTTTCACATAAATGGTTCCGGCACTTCCGGCTTTCGGGACAACAAAAAACTAACACGGAAATGGTCTACATAAAAAAACGTACAAAGTAGTGGATATTTATCTAAACTAACACTAAATCGCTTAAACAACTTTTTTTAAGTGAACGCTCCATCAAAACTAAATAAAACGAAACGGATTTGGTTTAGGGCTAGTTATAGACAGTTCAGGAATACGTTTTAGTTGGCCCTGCGCAAGGGTGGATGGGAAATAAAGTCCACACGAGTGGTTTTTAGCCTACTGTTTCTAAAAGTTTTATGTTTGCATGTTAAAAAAAGAAAAAAGCGTGCATTTTTGAGGAGCACATCTGTTAAAAAAATCTAAATAAGCATAATTTTTCAAAAAATATATTTTAAAATAATGTGTATGTTCCAGCATCACTATGTTTAAAAAACGGTAGAAAATGTAATTATTACATTTCAATCCTCTTGATATTTGCTTTCAAACACAATTTTGTTTCAGATTTCATTGCCAATGGAAACATGTTACTTAAACATCAGTCTAAGTCCGTCTACCAAGAACTCCAACACTCACTTTTGGGGGGCAATGGTGTAGCCTAAATTTTTGGTCATGTGCATCCCTAACAATAATCCTGAACACACAGTGTTCATCTTGCTCAGTGAATAAAGCTGGATACAAAAGTGTTTCCTGCTACCGTTTCATTCTGTGTGTTATAAGTGGTACCTTTGGTTCAGCGACACACGCCTAATAAGTATGATCACTTCCTGTTCAGGGACCAGTGGTGTCCTTGTTTGTCTGTCTGTGTGACGAAGTGGTATGGATGATTTCCCATTCGCCCCTGTAATTTATTTCTGTAGCCTGCTGGCACTGTGATGGGGGGTATTTTAACCAGACTGAAATGTGAATATTGCACTGGTGTGGATGTGCTTACCATTTGGGATTTCATGTTTGCTTTGTATCCAGAGTAGGTTGTGAGGGGAGGGGGAGAGGGAGGGGGAGGGCCCACCCAGTACTACCTCCCTGGATCATCCTATGATTGGCTGCTTCATTTGTACAAACCAAAGGAAGTGGGATTTGTTTCTTTGGTCTTAGTGTGAAAATGTTTCTTGTATTGTAGAAACAGTTTTGTCTTTTGTATATGTTAACACTTAGGTACATTTATGTGGATGTTTATTTTCTTTTGGATTTAATGTTGGAGCACTGATGATTACGGCTGATTGTTTGCAGGTGTGATTTTCTGGGGTGTTTAAAGGAAGCCAGGTGGAGGCTTGGCGAGGTTTTTTTATTTTTTGATCTGTAAAAGGAAAGCAATGAAATAAATGCCTGAGAAGAATTTTGGCTCCCAAGGAAAAATGTCCCTGTGCTGTAGTTTTCCTCTACTTCTGTCACCTTCAAGACCTTCTGGCTGCTCTACATTCTCACAGTCTGGGTTCCAGACTTTTAGAATCTTTAAGCTGGAGCCTGATGCACAACTTGAAGAAATGTTGTAAAAGTCCACAAAACTGTCCATGTAACATTTGTCCTCCTTTGACAAAACTTCATGAATTCTCTCCAGCAATCCTACAGTCCTCATCCAAAGCCTTTGGACCAATGGTAGCAATCATTCCAAACAAGAATCATATTATATAGTTGGTAAACCTTATTTGTACTTCAATCCAATATGAACCTAGGGCTGTCGCGGTTGAGGAATTCCCCCTGCGGTGATTCAGGGTGGCTTAATATTGCGGTGTGCGATATTATTGCAGCCCTTTTTTATTGCAGTACTATCTAAACATACAGGTGCTGGCCAGTAAATTAGAATATCATCAAAAGGTTGAAGATATTTCAGTAATTCCATTCAAAACGTGAAACTTGTACATTATATTCATGCAATGCACACAGACCAATGTATTTCCAATGTTTATTACGTTTAATTTTGATATTTATAGGTGACAACCAATGAAAACATCAAATCTGGTATCTCAGAAAATTAGAATATTCTAAAGGCCAATGAAAAAATGTTTGTTTCTCTAATGTTGGCCAACTGAAAAGAATGAACATGAAAAGAATGTGCATGTATAGCACTCAATACTTAGTCGGGGCTCCTTTTGCCTCAATAACTGCAGTAATGCGGCGTGGCATGGACTCGATCAGTCTGTGGCACTGCTCAGGTGTTATGAGAGCCCAGGTTGCTCTGATAGTCGTCTTCAGCTCCTCTGCATTGTTGGGTCTAGCGTATTGCATCCTCCGCTTCACAATACCCCATAGATTTTCTATGGGGTTAAGGTCAGGCGAGTTTGCGGGCCAATCAAGGACAGGGATACCATGGTCCTTGAACCAGGTGCTGGTGGTTTTGGCACTGTGTGCAGGTGCCAAGTCCTGTTGAAAGGTGAAGTCTGCATCCCCATAAAGTTGGTCAGCAGCAGGAAGCATGAAGTGCTCTAAAACTTCCTGGTAGACGGCTGCATTGACCCTGGACCTCAGGAAACAGAGTGGGCCAACACCGGCAGATGACATGGCACCCCACACCATCACTGACGGTGGAAACTTTACACTGGACCTCATGCAACGTGGATTCTGTGCTTCTCCGCTCTTCCTCCAGACTCTGGGTCCTTGATTTCCAAAGGAAATGCAGAACTTGCTTTCATCAGAAAACATAACTTTGGACCACTCAGCATCAGTCCAGTCCTTTTTGTCCTTGGCCCAGGCGAGACGCTTCTTGCGCTGTTTCTTGTTCAAGAGTGGCTTGACACACGGAATGCGACACCTGAATCCCATGTCTTTCATGAGTCTCCTCGTGGTGGTTCTTGAAGCGCTGACTCCAGCTGCAGTCCACTCTTTGTGGATCTCCCCCACATTTTTGAATGGGTTTGTCGTCACAATTCTCTGCAGGGTGCGGTTATCCCTAGAGCTTGTACACTTTTTTCTACCACATTTTTTCCGTCCCTTCGCCTGTCTGTTAATGTGCTTGGACACAGAGCTCTGCGAACAGCCAGCTTCTTTAGCAATCACCTTTTGTGTCTTGCCCTCCTTGTGCAAGGTGTCAATGATTGTCTTTTGGACAGCTGTTAAGTCAGAAGTCTTCCCCATGATTGTGGTGCCTTCAAAACAAGACTGAGGGACCTTTTAAAGGCCTTTGCAGGTGTTTTGAGTAAATCAGCTGATTAGAGTGGCAGCAGGTGTCTTCTATATTCAGCCTTTTCAGAATATTCTAATTTTTTGAGATACCAAATTTGGAGTTTTCATTAGTTGTCACTTATGAATATCAAATTTAAATGTAATGAACATTGGAAATACATTGGTCTGTGTGCATTGCATGAATATAATGTACAAGTTTCACGTTTTGAATGGAATTACTGAAATATCTTCAACCTTTTGATGATATTCTAATTTACTGGCCAGCACCTGTAATGTTTACACATTTAAAAACGGTTAAAAATTGCCGTGCCTTCTTTAATAACACTTTACTGAATGCAGATCAAAGGGTAGTAACAACACAGATCGCAGTAACGCTTGTTTCTCCGACAGTCGGAGTCCGACTGAACTTAAAAACAACAAAATTCAGGAGAAGGTTAAACTTTTAAATGCAAATTTGGCTGCAGCATCTAACAAATAAGAAACAAGTCCCCATTTTGTTTAGTTGTTTAAAATCAAGCATAAAAAATTACATGTACCGGGCGCGCGAGCGCCGGGGGGTGGGCGCACTATCATTTCACTTTCACTTTCACACACACGAATGACGGTGATTTATAGCTCGGTCACGTCCTTGTTACCTACAAGGAAAACCAGCATGTTAACTACGGTTTGAGAGAGGATCTGAGAGGGGTGGCAACATTTGCAGCAACACTGAAAACCCTCTCAGATGGAGCGCTCGTTGCACTAACGCACACGTACTTGCGTGCGACTCTGGCGAGCAAAGGGAATCTCTCCCGGTTGTTGCTCCACCGTGTCACGGGGGTTTTCTTTAGGGTGGATGCATTCCTCCTGCAGGTAGCGAGTGAGCTCCAGCTCGGCTCAAACTCTCTTCGGGACGGCTGCAGAAGCAGTGCTTGTCCGGGACTTCAGCAGGTCTCCGAGCATTTATTTATTTATTTTTGTGCTGGTGGCAGCTCTGTCTCGGCCAAGGACCCTGGCTGCGCAGCAGCTGACGTACTGAAAACCAAAGTGCTCCCAAAGGAGCGAAGTAACGTTTCGTTTTGATACCAGTGCAGCCATCCTTCTCAACATGCATCATTGAGTTGAACCAAGTTCAGTAATCGCGGTGGCGCATGATGCAGCGCGGTGGGCTTCTTCATATCGCGATATTTCATTTTTGCGGTTACCGCGACAGCCCTATATGAACCTTTGTGTAAATGTGAAACTGCAAAACTTAGACCACAAACATGAACATGCTGACGGTAGAAGAACTTAACCACTCCTTTACCAGATGTGAGGATAAATAAATGATAATAATAAATGGCCCGTACTTGTATAGCACCTTTCAGAGTCAGAGGACTCCAAAGCGCCTTACACTACAGAGTATCATTCACCCATTCACACATTTGCACACTGCTGGTGAGGAGCTAAATTGTAGCCACAGCTGCCCTGGGGCACACTGACAAACATGAGGCTTCTGAGCATGTGGGTTAAGGCCCTGTCCACACGTAGCCGGGGATCTGCCAAAACGTAGATATTTTTCTACGTTTTGGCCTGTCATCCACACGAAAACTGAGTTTTTTCACACGAAAACGGATCTTTTTAAAAACTCCGGCCAAAGTGAAGATCTGCGTTTTCTCCGTTTTGGGTGTCTGCGTGTGGACAGACAAAACCGGAGTTTTAAGGTGCGCAACGTCACTTTCCGCGACAAAAAATGCTGACATCACGTGTGCGACCTGTGCTTACACTAGCCGGCATCATGGAAGCCCTCAGAGCTGCGCTCGCTTTATCAATTGTCCAAGCGCTTTCTGCTTTTTTGTTTTTGCAAGCGGAGTTACTGCTCCTTGCGGAAGACCACAGACGAAGGACGAGGTTAAGAACGGGGGAAGTACTGCCGCCTACAGGTCTGGCATGTCCTTAACAACGTATTTACGTATCTGGGTACGTGTGGACAGAG